CACGTAATCATTCCTTATTTGGAATTCGCATTTCCTTATATGTAATGATGAAAATACCCCATAAAATACCGCAAAATTACGGAATGCTGTAACTTATGGCGTTACGGTGACATATGTATAATAATAATAATTAATAAAATAATGTACGTAATAAATATACCCATGAATTGAATACTGCGCCATTTTCTCTCTATTCAATTTCTTCACCAATTTCCCAGATGTTTCGTACATGAAAGTGGTAATAAATATTTAACCGCGCCGCCACCGATGGAGATCAATTGCGTTATTCAAGAAGGAGAAAAACCGCTAAACGACTATGAAACAGACAGGGTATGACACAGAGCATTCCATTATTGCACGCACCGCGTACCAGACTTCTCGTACACGAACATTATTTATGGTATACATAGAGGACAGTCGACAACAAATAACCATATCTTCATTATAAGTATCTAAATTTGTCATGTACAAACTGAAAACTTTGCTTTATCGAACCTATTGTCCAAGTGATCACACCCTGGCGTTAGAGGTGCAAACATTGTTTAAAATAAATTAGCTTTTTAGTTAGCCAGTGAGTCGCTTGATAATGAGTCGGTTTATAATGCTTTTTAAATCAAACATTATATATTAAGCCCAGCGTAGGTAATTCTGTTTTTAAATAATTTTATATGGTGTGTACCATCGAACTTGTTCAAAGCGCTCAGTCATGTCGTGTATGCACTAGGCGTACATATTCTGAGCATTCGACATAACGAATACATACATAGATTAACAGTTCATAACATGTCACCACAGCAATACGTGTATTTCTATGTGTATTTTTTGTTTATTTCTGACAGCAATGTTACTAATATTTTATTTCAGCCGAGAGGGAAAGTATCCATGTATTATTTTTATATCTAGTATAGTACTAACCCAAGCATATTTGTCTACTGCACTGATGGAAATACTTATAAATGCAATAGACCAAGAAGCAAAGTGACACAAATGCCACCAACACACGTTTAATATGAGCGACGTTTATTTAGAAACACTATCAACATTAGCGATTTCATAATAAAATGTTCTCAAATTACAATGGTGACCCAAATAATGTTTACATTACCTTTGTTCAAAGTACACATATGAATTCTTCTTAAAATGACATTTTCAAATATAACTTTTATTGACAGGGAGCTGAACAAGGTAGATCTGGCGCCGTGTAGGCACGAGATGTATGCATCTAAACAGGGACGTAAACTATAAACATTTTGTATATTGACAGCGGAGAAGGGATGATATGGATGATACCGTCTTTCAGATCACTCACATTGTCACTGAAAAACCCCCGGAGTCGCAAAATTAAGTACATTCATTAAAACAAATATCAGAAAATTCATAGAAAAATACCTAAAGGGCGGTAGTCGTCGCGCCACGCATGCGCGATATATGGGTCTCATATAAACAAAGATGGCGACTTTGACTGTTG